ACCTCACCCGGGGGAACTGTGATCCCCCGCGATCCCCCCCGAAATGACCTCTGACTCTACGGCACTGTACCCCGCTGTGGTCCCTGTCCTTCTCAGGCTGCATCCCCAAATCTCCAGGTGTTTCCCAACCTGGAACTGGCAACCCAAATTGTACGTACGGGATGAGGTATTGTGGTGTTACTGTCTTGGGGGAGGAGCACACCACAAGTTTGTACCAGGCCCGGAAGAAAAGAACGCCTGAGCCCTGCTGACCACAGAAGCATCAGAGAAGCTGACGCCACAGTAAAAAGCGTTGCCAGCGGTGGATTGGCAAATTCCTGGAGATCTAGGGGTAGAGCTTGGGGAGGGGAGGGGCCACCCTCCAAAACAGCCATTCTCTCCGGGGGAACCGATGTCTCTAGTCTGGAGATCAATTGTAATTCCAGAAAATCTCCAGGCCTCACCTGGAAGCTGGCAACCCTACTTTTAGTCGTTCCTCTTCGAGGCTCCCCAAGAATCTTGGCTGGGAAAGTTCCATCCGTGGGATGATGTGAGGGATTTTTTTTGGGGGGGGGCAGTTTCAGCACCAGAGAAACACTTGTGCCAAATGATCCTATGCGCACTTACCAAAAGGTCAGCCCCCCTCCCCTCAGAGTTCAGCGGGGATCACTTTCAAGACCATGACTGGACTGCATCCTTAACATCTCAATCGATCCTCTGAGAGTTTGAAAGCCGACGCCACGGTAAAAAGCAGAGCCGGTTTGGTGCAGTGGCTACGAGCGCGGACTCTGATCTGGGAGAACCGGGTTCGATTTCCCCACTCCTCCACATGAAGCTGCTGGGGTGACCTTGGGTCAGTCACAAGTTCTCTCAGAGCTGTCCTCTCAAGAGCAGTTTCTCTCAGAGCTCTCTCAGCCCCACCTACCTCACAGGGTGTCCGTTGTGGGGAGGAGAAGGGAAGGAGACTGTAAGCTGCTCTGAGACTCCTTCGGGTAGTGAAGGGCAGGGTAGAAATCCAATAAATAAATTTTTAAAGCATGTGGGAATTTAGCCATTTACCAAATCCTCGGAAGGAGCCCCCCCCCCCAAGCATTTGGAAACGTTTCAGCAAGACCCAAATCGGTTGGCTGCACAGAAGGGAAAATAAGGCAGCTGATTTACGCCTTTTCTTCCCACCCGCTCCCTTCTCACCCTCCCTCCCGGCCTCTCCTTTGGAAAAGTTTCCGAGAATTAGCTATTGTGCGCCTTGGGCCAGAAGTTCACCCCACAGATCTGCATATCTAATGGGCACTGCCAAGTCAGGACGTGCAGGATCCAGATCCCTCGCAGGTTGCTACGGGAACCCAAAAGGGAGGTGAATTCCGGGTCAGCGGTGTTACGCAAAAGGATGTCTCTGCGTATTTTTGTCCCCGGCATGGGAATGAGGTCCAGGAGGGGGAGGCGTCCTATATCAAATTCCATACGCTCCAACTGTCCCTGTTCACTAGAGACAGCACCTATTGTCTGGTCCCCCCCCCCCCTGTAGTAAATCATTACCCGTGTTATTGTCTGCGGGGGGGTGGGATCCCCTTGTGAAAATGCTGGCAATGTGAGATGCCTGCGCTGACATTCTGGAAGGTTTTGTTCCCCCCCCCGCCCCACAATCTCTATCATTCACATCTCTAAGAGATGACGTCAGAGGGTTCCGGCTGGGAGCCGGTGTCAGCCTGAAGCAACAGAACAAAGTCTGAGTCTGTCCGAAGCATCAGAAGAAAGTCTGAGTCCAGTGGCACCTTTAAGACCCACAAAGTTTAATTCTGGGGATAAGCGCCCGTGCGCAGGCATGTATTTGAAGCAGCATGCACGCACACAAAAGCTTACACCCGGAACAAAAGTTGTTGTTGCTGTTCAGTCGCACAATCGAGTCCGACTCTTTGCGACCCCATGGACCACATCACGCCAGGCCCTCCTGCCTTCCGTCTATGTTCGTTGCATCGATCACACTGTCTAACCATCTCATCCTTTGCCGTCCCCTTCTTCTTTGACCTTCAGTCTTTCCCAGCATCAGGGTCTTCTCCAGCGAGTGCTCCCTTCTCATTGGGTGGCCAAAGTAGTTCAGCTTCAGCTTCAGTATCTGGCCTTCCAGGGAACAGTCAGGGTTGATTTCCTTTAGGACTGACTGATTTGATCTCCTTACAGTCCAGGGGACTCTCAAGAGTCTTCTCCAGCACCATAATTCGAAAGCATCTATTATTCGGCGCTTGGTTGGTCTTAAAGGTGCCCCTGGACTCAGACTTTGTTCTTTTGCTGCAGACCAACACAGCGACCTACCTGAGTCTTTCCCCAAAAACTGGTCGCTTCTTTGTTACTCTGAGGTCCACCAAGGTACGGTCAAGTCACCGTGCGGAGAGCGCATCCGCAAGCTCTCTCGACAACAAAGCCGCTCACTGACTTGCAACGTGATCCTGAACATTCACTCTCGAAGAACATAAGAAGACAGCTTAATCAGGCCAAGGGTCACTTAAGTCCAGCAATCTTTGCAAGAATCCCAGCTGATACTACCAGAGGTCATTTCGGGGGGGGGATCGCGGGGGATTGCAGTTCCCCTGGGTGAGGTACGGGGGGCAGGGCACATGACGAAGCCCCGCCCCCTGCTTCCGGCCGCCCCGCTTCCGGCCCTCATTCAGCCAGGAGGAGGCAGGAGAAGAGGGAGGGTAAGTTGCTTCCTCCCTGCCTCTCCCCACCCCTGCCTGCCTGGGGCCAGGGAGGGCCTTTGCGGGGCTTCCTTGCACTCCCGCCGGCCTTGCAGGTCCACCACCAGGCCCCTCATGGGGCTCGACAGTGGAGCTGCAAGGCCAGCGACGGCGGCCGGGACCGTTGGGGGCGGGGTGTGTAGCCTTATGACACACTTCCGGTGATGTCAGGGGGTGTGGCATATGCTAATGAGTTATGCTAATGAGTTCCCCTAGCTCTTTTCCTACGAAACGACCCCTGGATACTACGCAGTTCCCCAGAGACCACCAAATGGTCGCCATTTGAGCAATAGAAACCGTACACTGGACTTGAGGGATCTTTGGACTGAACCAGTGTAGCTGTTCTTCAGTTCACACTGAGCCAAGCTTTTGAACGGCTGTTATTTACTTCATTTGCCTTTCTCCCCGGTGGAGATGCAAAGCTCCTCACATTGTTCTTCTCTCTTCCATTCTATCCACAACAACCCTGTGAGGTAGGTTAGGCTGAGAGTGTGTGACTGGCCCACGGAATCCCAGAAAGCTGCCATAGAAGAGCAGTAAAGGTACCAGTCTTCAGGTGGCACCTGAGATCTCCTGCTATTGTTGTCCATCTCTGGATGGTCACCAAGATCAGTTTCCCTGGAGAAAAATGGCTGCTTCGGAGGGTGGACTCTAGGGCATTAGACCACACTGGGGTCCCTCCCCTCCCCAAACCCCGCCCTCTCCAGGCTCCACCCCCACCAATCTCCACGTAGTTCCCAACCCAGAGCCGTCAACCCTACAGAGCAGCAGAGTTCCCATCCTCCAGGTGGTGGCTGGAGATCTCGCCGAATTACAACTGATCTCCAGGGTCCAGAGATCAGTTCCCCTGGGGAAAACGGCTACTTTGGAAGGTAGACTCTATACCAGGGGTGGCCAAACTTGCTCAGCCTGAGAGCCAAACAGAATAAATGCCAGATGTTTGAGAGCCGCAAAACTCGAACAGATATTACACGTATGTTTTTATTGGAAAATATACAAATTCGCTTTTTTGTTGACATTACATGGGACTGCCAACAATAAAAACAAGAGGGGTAAAACCAGATACTGACGATGATATTTATTCGTCCAATATATTTATTAGTTTGCTAATTATTTGTCTAAGAGAGAGAGAGAGAAAGAGAGAGGTGGAAAGAAAGAATGAAAGAGGTGGAAAGACAGAGATGGAAAGAAAGAGAGAAACAAAGAAAGCGAATAGACAGGAGGGAGGGAGGGAGGAAAAGCTTGCCTCCCCCTTTGCTTCCCCAGCTGCCCTGCTGGGAGCCGCACAATATGTGCGAGAGCTGCATGTGACTCCCGAGCCACAGTTTGCCCACCCCTGCTCTATAGCATTCAACCTTGCGGAAGTCCCTCCCCATCTCAAACCCCGCCCTCCCCAGGCTCCACTTTCAAAATCTCCAGGGATTTCCCAACCCGGAGCTGGCAACCCTCCAGAGCAAGGAGGCTAGCCTGGGTCTCGCAGACCCGAATCTGACACTCTAACCCCGACACCGTGCTGACTCAATGGTTTAAATTTGTGTGTGTATTTTCAAAGCAGGGAGAGAAGAGGTCGCTTTACCTTCAGTATCTTATGCTGGGAGCTCAGAGCGCCGTATCTGTTCATGGAATCTTGCTGTAACCAAAGAGAAGAGAAGCCCATCAAAGCATGCACCATCTACCTCTGAACCCTGCGGTCTCAATACAATACAGAAGACAATTCAAAAACAATTTAAAACAGCGATTTAAAACAACATAACTCACAGGGCTATTTTTGGGCAGGAACGCACAGGAACGGCGTTCCGGCTGGCCCCCAAGTTGACCACGCCCAGCAGGAACTCATTAGCATAATAGGCCACACCCAATAGCAGAAACTCATTAGGATTGGCCACATTAGGGGTGTGGCCTAACATGCAAAGGAGTTCCTGCTACAAAAAAAAGGCCCTGGGTTTTGACAACAAACAAGGTAAACAGAATAAGAAGCAAAAGGAGGGTGTGGCTGGATGACCACACTTCCGGTAACATGGGGGTGCAGCCTAATATGCTAATGAGCTATGCTCTCATGGGTGTGGCTGGATATGCTAATGAGTGTCTGTTGTTGGGTGTGGCCTATTATGCTAATGAGTTCCTGATGTGCTTTTTCTACAAAAAAAGCCCTGATAACTCATAAAGTGCATTGTAAAATTTAGCCAGATGTCTCAGCAGTGAGATGGCCATGGTGGCTCAGAGGTTAAGATGCTGAGCTGCAGACTTGGAAGGTCAGTAGCTTGGGAGTTTGAGACCCGAGTGCCGCGGGATGGAGTGAGCTCCTATCTCTGGCCCCAGCTCCTGCCAACCTGGCAATTCGAAAGCAAGAAATTGCAAGTAGATAAATAGGTACCAGTTCGGTGGGAAGGTAACAGCATTTAGTGCGCCTCGACGTTTTAGTCATGCCAGCCACATGACCACGGAGAAGTTTTCGGACAGCACTGGCTCTTCAGCTTGGAAATGGAGATAAGCACTGCCCCCAGAGTCGGATTTGACAGGCTTTCGAGCAAGGGAATCCTTTATATGGTTATTCAGATCCATTGGGAGATCAACGGGGGGTGGGACGTCCGCTGCCTCAACCAAAAGTCCAGTGGAAGAGTTCCATCTTGCAAGCCCTGTGGATATCATATGGGAGCTCATTCCACCACTGAGGCAAGTCGGACGTCCCTGAGACCATCTCGCGTTCACAGCCACTGCTTAGACCAGGGGTGTCAAACATGCAGCCCGGGGGCCAGATTAGGCCCCCAGAGGGCTTCTGTCAGGCCCGCAGTGGAACTGGCTGTCTCCTGCTTCTTCTTCCAGTTCTGCTGCTGCTGCGTCATCGTAGTTTTACAGCTTACAGATACACACCTGAACAGCATACTCAGGATTGCAACAGCACAGACATTTTGATGCAGTAATTCAGAGCAAGAGGTGTCAGTTATCGGACACTGTTAAATAAACAAAATATTGCAAGAGTGCTAATGTTTAAAGCATGTTTTTATTTTAAGTAAAAAAACCACCTTTGGGTTTGTGTCCTTTACAAAGTTATATCTCCGTTACCTGGCATTACCTTTTATGACACACACAGCCCGGCCCAATGAGGTCTCATTTATGTCAGATTTGGCCCTCATAACAAATGAGTTCGACACCCCTGGCTTAGACCATTAAAGGGAGGGCAGGTCACGGCTCAGGCAATCCCTCCTCACCAAGGGTGACCTTACGGCTCACGAATGTTTGTGTTTTATCTAATGCATCATCAGTCATAAACGAGAGGAAATGACTTCCCGTCGTGCGGCGCATCTTAACTCTCATCCTCCATTAGCTCCGCTAAACCAAAATTAATAGGGCCAAGATTGATTCCCTGAGCAAGCATGCTTCGGAACACAGATAATTTACGCTTCTGTCATTCTGGCCTCCCTGTCACCAACAGCTATTCATTTAGCATGCAAAGTGTCAGCCCATTAGGCACAACTGCCACCTCCCGCCGCTGCGGTCCTAGCCCCAACGGCAGGGAGCGAGTGAGCTGTTCCCAGACGTCCTCATGCTCCGGACAGGACATACCATCAAGCCTCAAAACATATGAGCACGTGGAGCCACGTTACACTGAATGAGACCATCACGTGAAGCTGCCTTCTACCAAATCAGACCCTTGGGTTCATCGAAGTCAGTATTATCTACTCAGACTGGCAGCAGCTCTCCAGGGTCTCAGGCACAGGTCTTTCACGTCACGTACCGCCGGATCTTTTAACTGGGGATGTTGGGGATTGAACCTGGGACCTTCTGAATGCCAAGTAGACGCTCTACCACTGAACCACAGCCTCTCTCGAAGTGTCAGTGTTGTCTACTCAGACTGACAACAGCTCTCCAAGGTCTCAGGCAGGGTCTTTCACACCACCTACTGCAAGATCTTTTAACTGGAGATCCTGGGGATTGAACCTGGGACCTTCCGTATGCCAAGTGGGTGCACTTCCATTGATCCACAGCCCCTCTCCAAAAGGACCCCTAGCTGTTTCTTTAAATGTTCCAGGTCAGGATAACAAACCCAACTCTTTCCAGAAGAAGGACGTGTATGATGCAACGAGTTCTAATACTTGTTGAGCCATGGAAGTTCATAGGGAAATCCTCTCTCAGCCTAATCTCAAATGGTCAGTTTTTTGCTGGACGAGCACTTGATGGTTGGTTCTCTACCCCCTAGCCATTTCCTGGACTATGCTAGGAAGTTTGCTCAGAATGAGTAACAGGCTTGGTAAATACAGCACAGGAATATGAGCCAGGAGACCTCAGTTCAAAACCCACTTCTCCCACCAACGTGGCTGTTTCTACAAGTCACAAACCCTTACTAGACTAGACTTCGATACAGCAGACCCGGGTTCAAATCCAGATTTTAAACGGACCTGCAGCTGTGAGTGCAAAAGAACAATTTCTCACCCCCGATTCCCTATCTGTAAAATGAGGATAACTGAAGACCTGGGGACGGTGCTGCATATGCTCTAACATTTATAATAAAACGATCCTAGGAAAGATACAATTCTGCAGGTTTCAGGCCTGTAGATTAGACAGTGGCACACTTCCCACTGAGAAACTCTGAGGAAGCTAAATGTGGCAATACACATAGGATATTACATTTTTGTGTGTTCTCTAGATCCACGCACAAAACCAAAGAAACTTGGGTTTACCCACCTTTTCTTTGTTAAGGGCCTCCTGAGCTTCTAGTTTGTATACCAAAAAATCTGAAAGGGAGGGGAGAAAATGAAGAAATTAGCACAAAGGCATTTACAAGGATCTGGTTCACATTTTCAGGAGGGAGCTGGCCAAAAGACAATGGACCTAGCAGGATGGAATGTAACCACTGAGGAACATTACAAAAGCCCTGCAAAAGCAAAGGGAACACAAACTTCTAAACCTTCAAAAAGTTAAGTTTAATTGCACCGGAAAACAAAGGGGGAGCAAAGAATAAAAGCAACAGACATCGTCTGCGGTTTTGCCCGATACTTATGCCTAGCAGTTATGAAGCACTTCAGACGGCTTAATTTAATTCATTCGTATTTATTTAATTCCATTCTGTTGGCAGAGTTCAAACATGCGGAGGAACTGCTTAAAGAAAATAACTCGGTTTATCAAAGAAATAAACTCTGATAGAACAGAGGAGAGGGAGAAAGACTTACTAACTGACTAACTTTTCTCCAGGGGAACCGATCTCTGTCATCTGGAGAGCAATTGGAATGCCAGGAGATCTCCAGGCCGCACCTGGAAGTTGGCAACCTCCAGAGGGTAAGACTCTCTGCTCACAAAAGGGGCTGCTCCCTCTAGGATTTGAGCCCTCCAAAGTCCTCCCCAGATCCACCTGTCCTCTCGGGAGGAGGTTAGGACAGACGAACACCTCTTTCCTCCCTCTCCAAACCTCATTGCAGCAATTTTGTAGAATTTCATGTCCGTGAAGCAAAAAAATCAATCCTTTTCAACTTTTTCTCTGAACAGCAAATTGGGGGGGGGGGGGTAATTAATCTGCACAAATGGCAAGGAACAACATCTTTATTTAGGACTCCTAAGAATCGCTTGCCGGGAGGCAAAACACTCCGAAACCTTTGAGAAACACGCAGCAATTGCCCGATCGATCTTCCGCAAAGTCCTACGATGCATCAAGTCTGGCCAGCGTCCTTACAAAAATTGTTGGTTTCTTTCTTTTTTTAAAAAAGGCACTGGGGTTGTTGAGTGGGATTTGCTTGCAATGAGGGTTGCCACTCCAAGCTGGGAAATTCCTGAAGATTTGGGGGTGGAGCCTGGGGAGGGTGGGATTTGAGGAGGGGAGGGAAGAAAAGAAGAAGAAGAAGAAGAAGAAGAAGA